GACGTGACGAGTCTTTGCGAGATGCGATACGTGATCAGATACGCTTCATATCAAAGGCACAGCATTAATGTAGACGTGCCGTGTACCGCGCCTGTACATTTTAACCGCTCGATTAGCGTAACGAAAGAACGATCAATCGTAGAATATCGCGCACCCACCGCCAGCCCAAGACAACCGATGTTGAAGAGTACAACTAGATGCGCCATAGATCGTGGTTTGGATGCAGCATGGCACACATAATCATATTGGCATTCTATTAGGGGGTGTCTTCTCCCTCCGCCGGCTTCTGCTGCCTCCCTTCCATCTAACGCTCACCCTCCTCTGCCTCATACCCGGCCATCCTGCAACCCTCCGGCATACGTCAATCGATACATGTACAACATGATTATAATATCTCGCACATCGAAATAAGGAACTCTCCTGCTTTTCGGCTGCGCCAATTTATTAATTAATTAACAATTTACGCGAAAGAATAGCATTTTGCACTATCGGGTTAGTAACTTTCAAGGCCTGGCAGTCTACCGAAGATGAACTGAAACTCGAGATGGTCAAAGCACCAGAATGAGAACTGGATGAAACAGGCTTTAAGCCTAATACGCGATGAAGAAGAAGGGTCTATAACTGGTAAAACAGCGCGAGACTTTAAAGACTTCGATCGCTCATTTGTTTTTTTCACAGATCGGCACCAGTGACGTGTACGCGTCATCGTGTCTTTCTATCCTTCCTACGTAGAATTTGTGTAGCGAATGTACATACCTAGTGGCATTAATCTAAATAGTTAATTTTTCTGCATCAACGCATTCAATCGCACGTTCGTCATGTTTACAACTCTAATAAGAATAGCTTGTCAACGATGTATACAATTATTTAGAATGCGTTGATACGTTAAATTCACTTGTCTGTCGGTGCAACAAATCGATACGGAAGAGAAGACAGAATCGGAATAGAATATCGGGATACGCGCATAGCAGAGTAGACTGCAATATGCATTAGAGATACAAGCGCTTCCATTACGTCTTCTTTTAAACAGTGCGAAGTGTGGATTAACGTTAGGCAGCATTATTAGGTTACGTGAATGAGAGTGTTAACTTGCTGGGTGCATGGACTATTAACACGGCTTACATGATTTACGGCTAATAGCTAATAACCACGTATTACGTAACGACGTTGATGCGGTTGCCATCTGCTATTTTGGTCTCGATTGCTGTCTATGTACTTCCATAACCGATTCAGACGTGCCATACTGCAGCGTTGGTAAACAACAATCAGCCCGGAAGATAATGCAAAATATTTGCGCAAGAGTCACAGCTTCATTAATCACTTCCTTCTTCGATATGTATTTCTTTTTCAAAGAGCGAGAAC